ATATACTTACTAGTTTACTACTCGTATTATCGCTTCTGAATCGAAACAATCGCGGTGTCTACGGCGATAAATCGAATTCCTCCCTGATCATTAACGGACGCGGAGTGAATCGCGCGTCCGCACTTTTATCGGGCGAGGGTTGATAATACGTTCTGATCGGATCGGCGTCGAAAAGTCCGCTCGCGCAAAGTTCAAAAACATCGCCTCGAAATCGCGTGACTCTGCGCCTTTAACTGTCGGTATCGGGGACCTGCGCCGTTGATGGTCACAAATGATAGTCGTAAAGCGTTTATAGGCGGTTCTTTTTTCTTTTAAATCGCGGAATTTAAATAAGCCCGGCACTGGCTGAAAATGTTTCGTTCGATCTCTGTGATTTTTTCTTCTTTAATATAAAACCTTAACCGATTCCCTCGGTGTTTAAAGTCTTATTGTGTTCGATTTAGTTCTCGTGCGATCAGTACTTTTTTATTATTTTTTTGAGTATGCTTTATTGAAAAATAGCAGAACACCATTATATTAATAATAATCATATTGTATAGTTGTTGATGTTGAGAATCGACAAGTATATCATAGTGAAAATGAACATTTTTTTATTTCGATGACCACACAACATGGTTCTGGCACAAATCTAAAGTTAAGTTTATATGATAAGTTCGTCTTAATGCTTTTTTCGATGCTCACGTACTACGTATAAAGCCATTGGTAACAATCAACCGGCTCCATTTCGCCGGAGCAAATGGGCCGTAAGAATTAACGTATACGCGGGAAATTGGCTGTTGGATGACTCCGCTCGTCGCCTGTTACAAAGGGCATCACCTGTCAGACACGATGGGCTCGTATTAAGCACGAAAAGTGGCAATTCCGACATCGGATGCGGGCGATTTAACATTAGGCAATTCGAATACGTCGCTCCGTGAGGTCTCTTGTTACTTGTATCGTGAATTTCATTACAATAGTGTCGGCCGCATCTCGTAATGTAACACGTGATTGGCCCTTTTATTTTTCGACGGCACACGTGTGAGTGTGAGGCGTTATTTATGATGTAATTCGATAAGATTACGAAGTCACGCAAAGGAAGTCCTAAGTTTCTTCTTTGTTCAATTATAAATGTTCCTATTAACCTATCCTAAGAACAAGGTAAGTCTGCTTTTATGTACTGTGGTATGGCCACGTAATAGCTTCGGCTGTTGCACGAATGGGCAGGTCCGTACGGGTGCCAGGACGTCATAGAAGACCGGCGTGAAGTGGAAGTGTTATACTTCTGCGTTTCGTCTGGTGAGTGAGGTAGCCCGGGCCCACTTTATTAAAAGGTGGCAACGCATCTGCAACCCTACGGGTGTTGCAAATATTCATTGGCGGCGGTTATCACTTAACATCAGGTGAATCGCCAGTGCGGTTGCCACCGTCTCACATAAAAAAAAATATTATAAAAAATATGTTTCAGGTGTTTAAATCAAAAGATATTAAAATTCATTACAGATAGGCCTAACCAATAGGTCTAGCATTAATTATATCTTCAGCCCCAATTTCTTCATTTATTTCATTATAAATTACTATATCGACAGTTACGTAATCCTCACAGTTGTATATTGTACATACTATTGCTTACGCAAATTTAGATCCTCCATTCGAGAGACGGTAATACAGAAATAAAAGTACAGTGTTATAAAGAAAGCAATATAGAGAAATAGGTTGTTTTCAAAGAACTCTACGACATCTAAAACGCTTTACGGTCCATAAAGAATTTATTGCGTTCGAAAGAGACGCGAGGCATGCCAGTATAATTAATATTGTTTTAGGTACAGTGTGAGTGAATTTCCGTTGGGATCGATGTTATAGTCGTCTAATGACGTCAACCTTCGTAATAACACCGGTGAGACTTAGGCCTAGAAAAAAGGTCGTGTGACACGGCCACATAGAATGCTGGTGACCAGTATGGGCAATATACAGTTAGTAGGTAGGGCATACTTAGACAAAAAAACATAATTTGCCTATGCGAATCACCAGATCGATTTAATTCTAGGCTATATAGAATCCATCACCATCATCATCATCTCCTTGTCCCACCTAGGTGGGATCGGCACAAGTTGTGAATCATGTTGTAAGCGTTTTCGGCTTTGTTTTTTACGACTAGCCACCTGCCTAAGGTCAACCCTCCTTGGGAAATCTATATAGATTCTTACATCTACTTGAGCAAAAAAAAATAGATTTTATTCCTAACAACTTGCCTTCCCGACTGTACGGTGGGCTAAACATTAGCGCGGCGATAAATTAAATCAAGGCACGCCAATCACGTCCTAAACCGGTTGATTGCTAATGGAAATGCAATAAACACCTGGCGGTGCGTTCTGAGGATTACCAGGGCCGGTATAAATAAATGCTTACCTAAGTATTTACAATGGCTTCATTGGTCCGTGCGTGACGGGCAGAGTTTTCTTATTATTTATAGCGTCTTCTCGGTATTCATGATCTTCATTATCGTTACGAATGAAATAAATGATAGTTTTAGTTTTTTTAATAGAAAGATGAATGTGCATGACCGTAATGTACATAAAAATGTTTATAGTAATTTCTTTGATTACTAATAAACAGATGGCAAAAGAGTTCGTTTTATGCGGCCGTTCTTCCTTCCTGTTTGGTGATGATGAAACATTTTTGCACATTTGATAAACTTGGCTTCATGTTTCTTATATACTTGGGCCACGCTCTGCAACATGTATTCGCTGATGAAGAAATACACTAACCAAATAATCTTTGTCATTTACTTGAACACCAATTTATTCGAAAACAATGTTTGTTCGTGGTTGGCAATATGAAAGTGACGATTGGTCCTTAAATACTTGCACCTTCCGAGAGATCAATTTTGAAAATGCGTTGGCTTAGACTTATAGAACAGATGCCCCAAAGTAGCCAAGTATCACCAACAGATATATTATTTAACTGAGAAGAGCCCGGTGATAGGCTACTAATAGTCAGCAAAGCATTGAACGTGTTCTTAATTTGAACTGGTTAATAGTTTAAATTAATTCTTACAACCAGTGACAAGAAAACAGTGAATATTTAAAAGAACGGCAGCAAAGAAAGCGAAACATGTTAATATAATGTAAAAATGTTGTACTGTAAAACTTTGATAATTTACTTTACTTGCGTATGGTAAGAAAGACGACGTTTTCTTTGAGTTCTCGCCATCGTAAACATTCCAGGCATTTGCATTCAGCGCTCATAATGACAATGTATATATAGCTCATAAATCGCTTCCGAGATATCGTATGACATGCTTTAAACCAGTCATCTCAGCTGCGGGCGCGGATTCCAGAAACAATAAGGAACTGCGGTCGTTCTGAGAAATTCTGAGCCGAAAGCACTGAGAAAAGACGAGTTTTAATTTAACAAAGACCAACAAGCTTTAGAAAAAATAGCAATTACTTTGATTAAAAATAGCTAATTAGGGAATGGAACGTTTAAATTACAAATATAAAATAATCGGCCGGAATAAAAAAAGACCTTTGACGCAGATCGTGGAATATTTACGTATTAAGTATTATCACTGGATATACCCAAGCTGTTATATCGATATATCGGCATAAAACTAGATTCTTCAAAGAAATTGATTGATTGAACGTGCTTTCAAAATATTAAGAAACACTATTTTATGGATTTTTCATTTCATTTCTTTTGTAAATGTATCGAACGCTTCGTGAAGCTTATGGAAGTTCTCCGGAGTAAAAAAGTCCATAATCAATTAAATTAACGTACTAGTGTAATTAAGAACTAGTAAATTTTGAGGGGACGAACATTAAAACTTCAAATATGGCTTATCCTTCTTTTTTGAAGTCGGTGGAAAAGTGAAAATCGATCGTCTTCGACATTGTGCCTTTATTCATTTTCATAGGCGTGAATCATACAGCTTTATATGATCAATAAAAGTTGACGAGGCGGTTCAAGTAAAAGTGCTTTTTAATCGAACTTTATATTTTGATTTTCATCCGTACTGAACTGCTGAGCTTCCCACCTTACGAATATTCACAGTTAACTATAGTTCAATGAATACAACTGCTTTATCGTCCCATAGTATTTCAACAACAAGTCCAATCGGTACAAAACAATGCCGTAATGCGAGTTACGGCATTATTGGCAGTTAAAACAATGAAGCGCACAGTTTAATGACATGCCTTCACGGCCTTCCACTCCATCATAAAATGTTACCCGGCTTGTGTTTTACGACCGTGTTACGTTCGCCGGTGTTCGAATTTCGTAGCGGAGAGAATTGTCTTAAACTTGCACCAATTTAAAGCCAAACACAAATTAAATAACCATTTTCTCACATACTGCCTACTTCTATTTACGAGGACTGGACAATTTGTCTGCCACTTTCGCGATCGCAGGGCATGTCTCTATCCCGTAATTATTGATGTAGTTTTGGGGGCAGAAATTAGAAGCGAGAACTTGTTAGATAGTCCTGTTTACGATTTATGTTTCCCGCCAACCTGTCTCCGTACATAAAGCACAGAATAAGGAAGTGGTTTGTCTGAGGATGGAAAAGTAATTGTGCATCCAACTGTGGTTGGGCCACGGAACAGTTTCTGTTATTGCACGAATGGGCAGATCCGTCTGGTGAGTACCACGACCTGACAGAAGACAGGCGTGAAGTAGAAGTGTTAAATTTCTGCGTTTCGCCTGGTGAGTTAGGTACCAACTTTATTGTAGGGCACGCATCTGCAACCCTACAGATGTTGTATATGTCCATGGACGGCTATAACACCAGGCGAATCGCCGGCTCGCTTTTCATCTTCTCACATTAAAAAATATTGGACAACAAGCGCCCAGTGTTAGTCGTCCCTTGGCTACTATCTGAATGCGTATTCGTAATTTATATACGAAACAGCGATACAAACCCCTTGTACATAACTCCACCGCGTACGTAGCGGACAAACGATCGTAAAGCTAAACGCAACGCGAGTTTTTATCGGAGCTAGTTGCCGCGTATCGACGTATGCACAATGGTGCGTATATTGCGCTCGACTGGAGTGCTCTGTGTGGTCAAGAAGCGATGCAAGGTCAGGTGGGGCGTAAAAAATGAAACGCTCGGTGCTAGGCATAAGCGATTAGCGCGATATTCGAGCAAAATATTTAATAGATGTTGGCTATCACGAATTTATATCGAAGTATGAAGACAATTTAAAGATCAAACTTTTATTCGGTTAAGTATCAAAACTTTATTTTTGTCATTGATTGAACGTAGAAAATGTATCGATATCAAAATGTATGGATAACACAGTAAATGTTCTATAAATGTTCATTCAACACCTCCATGCACTTAAATAAGTGAGCATGATTTTATTGCTGTAATAGATAATGCGGAAGAAAAAGGTACTTATTATATAATTGAATGTACGTAGTAAAACGTTGATTTATTAACTAATTTACGAACTAACAATACTAATAAAAATCCACTCCTTACCCCACCAAGGTTGGGGCGCCAGGTGAGAATCATGTTGTTAGTGGTGTTAATTAGTTTTTTCGGTATTATTAAAAGGAATCCGTCTTAAAAATTAAATTAATTGGAAATTATTTTTACCGATTATTAATATAATATATAGAGTTACACGTGAAAATGTGCGGGAAGTCGATGGATGCGGCTCTGATGGTGACTCAGGATCGTACTTCGTGGCAGTCTATGAGGAGACCTATGTTCAGCAGTGGATTCAAACAGACTGAAATAATGATGATGATTAATATATTGCCATAAACTTAACCTTTCGTTTGCTTCATTTTCTAATACAATAAGAAAGATTTAATTTATAAAGACATTTAAAATCAGTGAATGCAGCAATAACAGAGTAACAATAGTTGATAAATATAACCTTAATACTTTCAGTTTGTAAGTTGCACCCGCAGGCGTCGCTTTACGAGTTACGAGAACACACCATTTAAGGAACAATATGATATTAAACAAAAATCGTTACCTCGAATACATCGCGTTTTACACCTCGCAGTTTACGGAGGCGGCGGTTTCGGTCAGTCCCAATGCCATTTCGAGAGACACATGTCGATTTTGTGCCTTCTGCGTAAGGATGTTCGGTGAAACGAAAAAGGCTTCAAGTGAGTGGAGGAATGATTGCTTTAATCGTGCCTTGTAAGAGTTGTGAGAACTTTCGATTCGGAGGTAATACGAAATACGTAGGAATGTTTGTATACAATTACGTGTTGTGATTTAATAATTTTCCACTTTTCGACTGTAAAATTAGACATTGATACTAACGCATAGGTAGTATTTGAGAGTACGATAGAAAGCGTCTTAAATGAATCCAGTTATTACATGTTGTCTGTTTTAATTTATTTATACTTATAAACTAAGTTCTTTAAAAACTAAAGTAAGGTTGAATAAAACTTCTTGAATAAGCAATAAATTTAAAGGTTAAACTTTAGTAAAACAAGTCCTGGTACAGGAAGGCTGCCGTATATAAGTTGTTCTATTTGTTATTCTATTCTAAGACCTTTCAACCTTTTAAGTTTTAATTTCCTCATACGAAATTTTTCTAGCAACAGCACACAGACAGAAAGCTCGAAATACGATCAGTCGTTATTTTTAAACGCGGTAAAACACGAACAATGGCGGACGGCGTCTCAAAGGAACCAAGTCATCAGTTTTAGTGGGCAAAGAGTGAGATGTTGGGCGTCGTAAATAAAACCGGCCAAGTGCGAGTCGGACTCGCGGACGAACGGCTCCGTACGACTATCTACAAAAACGGCAAAATAAATCATGTCTGATGTATGGGAGCCCCACCTAAATATTTTTTATTGTTTTTTAGTATTTGTTGTTATGGCGGCAACAGAAATACATCATCAAATTTCAACTATCATAGTTCATGTGGTAAAGCCTGGTGGACAGACAGACGGTCAGGCATACATCTGTATGTCTGACCTAAAATTCTATCTAGAAGTCTTAGTAATAGGGTCCCGTTTTACCCTTTGGGTTTGAAACCATAAAATGAACAGAGATTTACGGGTGTGGCCGAGGCCGCTGAGAGTGTGGCGGTTGCCATGGGACGTGTACCACGAATTGCCGTAAAAACGAAACTCAACAGGTTTTCGTAAAGACGCTCCCTATCGATACCCGAACTAATTACGGTCGCTCGGAGCGAAAAAGGAATGCGAAGGGAAAAAGAATGTCAAACAAAACTGAAATAAAGATACTAAAAGTCTCATGTCTTCGGAAATAGATATAAAATTGCTTGTGATACAAGGGAGGCGCTATGTGTAGACATAGCAGCTTCTATAAATTTTAATAAGAAGAAAATTTTCGAAAGCATATTTGTATATTCCATTACTTCACAAAGATCCTTGACGTTGAACTATATCGAACTTGAAGTTTGTAGAAAAATGGACGAAAAGTACCAGACGCTTTAACCAATAAGCTATACGGTTGATTCCCACTTCGAAAAAAATTTCAACGTATTTTATCTTTTTTGTTTTTTCGCACTTTAAGCAATAATTGCGGCCATTTATTGATATGTCCTTTACAGCACACAAACACTTTTAGATAACGTTTTATAAAGATAATTCTAACGAGAGATGTCCCCATTGTTGTTGATATTTAAATCATATAATATTTTTATTGTGATAATCTGCACTTAAGAAGACACATTAAGATTTGTAGAAAAATGGACGAAAAAATTTTCGACGGCGTGGGAATCGAACCTGAGTCTTCAGATATGTAGAGATGGTGTACCCACTAAGCTATAGGTTGATTTCTGACGCCGATACGTCGACGAAAATCTCAACGTATTATTTATATCGAACTAATATCCGCTGTCCCGTACGAAATACTGTGACGGTCGCCTTGGGTTATAAAGAAACGAAATCTGGGCACGAACGGAAGCGTTCAGAAAACGAATCGCCAGCATTGAGGGATTCAATATTACTGATCAGGCGTCATTACTAAGCAGCGGTGCCGACGGCTACAAAAGGAGGGCCAAAAAGTGTTCCACGAAACGAAGGCGACGCGGCCGCGCAAAACGAAAACGAAGCAATCGCCAACTGCGCGGGTCGAAAAAAGCCACGGGCCATCGATGCCGTACTGCGACCACACGAGGAATGGGAACAATGCCAAACGGGCGCACAAAAGGCGGCGGGGAGACCCTTCCGAGAAAGCGAGACACGGACAGAGGTAACGGCGCGTAGAGACTCCGGGTTATAGTTGCGGGACCATAGGATTTATGCCGATATCCCCGGGAAAAATTTCGACCAAAAACGAGGATTTAATGGATAATCTGTGCTTGATATCCGATGAAAAGTTAACGTGCTCAATTGTTCACGGGCTTTGCAACTTGTGAAACTTTGCGGGACTCAAAAAGAGAAGTTCGAAATACGAGTATGGTTAATAAAAGGATTCACCACGATAATAATTAATAAAATCATATTTATCAATTGTAAATAGGTTATAGGTTTCAATCTTTCATATTAATTTAATCGCTTTCCTGTAAGTTAAATAGTATTAATAATTCACATAACTATGATAACCAAACACAAATGAAGATTGCAAACAATAGATAATCTGACTAATTGCACTTTCAGAAAAATCGTTTAAGCCATCATAACTGGTACTTTAGAGAAAACGTAATTAAAATATACTAGTGCCAAAGTGTGGAGATTAAACAAAACTCTTGATTTTCCATGGTGTTAGGTTTTTTCTAAATAACAGGTAACGTGATTTAAATCACCTAATAAATCTATTCAATGTAGACGATTCCGATAAGGAGGCACATACGTTTTTACCAATTTATTTAACAAAAAAACATGCGGTGCTGAAATGTACGAAGTTGCCACAGCCATTTAAGTGCGAAAGTACTTCAGTTTTCCATTGGCAATCCCTTGTAAGTATTGATATGGCGCAGACCGCAAGTACTGTAGCAAAAAGCCGAAGATAAATTATTACCCGATCAGACTGGTCGAGGCAAGTTGCTGTAAGCATTCCAACTCTTGTAAAAAACTGAAGCCTCTGGATAACTCATAAATTATCACAACAGAACACCACTCAACTCAAGTCAGGTCAACCTTCAAATAGCAACTTGACTGGACAAAAAGCAGCTCCTCCCAGAATGCTTGGAGGCAGAATCTCACGATGGCAGAACTGCAAAAAGTTGACCGATTTGAGAACTTTATCCAACACCGTGTTGCCCTTAGATGCCTTAAGCGATTCCACATAAAGTACTAGAGTACATTTAGTTAATTTCATAGCACCTTAGACAGAATACCGAAGGCAATCTAGCAACGATTGGAATTCCAGCGAGTCGGTTCTCAGAATGAAAGCTCGAACGTCGCAAACCAGAACTGACTAATTGACGGAAGATGAATTAATCGAATATTCCAGAAATAAAACAGGTAGACGTTGATTACATATAAAGTAATGAACGGATCGGTTTTAAAGCAACCATCCGTCATCTCCCGTATTAAGCAATCAATTTAAAAATAGTCGCTTGAGATTGCAGTACAAATTTAAAAAAAACTAAGGGTTTTGAACATTTGTATCATTTTAAATGATTTAATAATGAATTGATATTATTAAAATTAATAGTGTATTATTGTGTCATTAGTAATTATTGTAGCATTCGTGCAACAATACGAGCTGTTGTACGGCCCTACCACAGTACTGCTACCGTTATATTAGAATACTTCTGCGAGATTATAATATGAGAGGTATTTTCTTTATTAACATTAAGAAAAAAAATACCATGCACATATTGTAAAAAAATGTTTTTAATTCAGAACCACGACGTTAAAGGAGTCAAAGAACATCGCTCGTAAAACTAATACCATTCCGTTTTCCCGCCAACTTCTGCGGCCTCCGTCTAATACGTTTACATACAAAAATATGGCCGCCGGTGTATTGAAAGTTGCGGTCCCGTGTAGTTTAGTAAAAAGAAGCTCGGAAGCGGGAAAAAGTTGGAGGGCGGTTCGTTTGACCCTTATCAAAATGGTTTATTTCGTTTTATGTTGGCGATTTATTATAATTTAGTACATACTGAGGTCCCATCAACATGTAATAAAAGAATTAACATGTTATAGCTCACTTTTTTAACCTCTGTAGAGGAAAGGTTAACGAAGGAGTCTTTGGATTCGGAAACGCGTTCATTGCTATTTGAGCAGTATCACAGGCAGTCAAATTTCGTTCTATTACTTCATTTTTACAATCAGTTAAAGAAAACGGATAGAGTTAAAATTTCTAGTATTGTCCAGAACACTACACTGCTTAATTAAACTATTCAAATTATAAATTGATATTGACATTTCACACACTATGCAGCGTTTATGGACACTGAACGGATTAAGGTTTTAAAACTATAAATTTAGTGTCCCATCTTCGTTAAGATAAAAAGTTAAATAAAGCTAACGGGTGATGTGAGACAAAACGGCCTTTAAGTAAACAAAGTCGTAATGGATACAAACAAATAATAAAGCTAACAACACCTAGTCCGAATAAATGGGAAGCAACAGTAAACGATCTCGAATACCGCTTCTCCAGAAATATAATGCTAAAGGTGAAACAGTTACGACGAACTTCAAACAATGGGAGAAACATTCCGCTGACGATAACGATACCGCCGAAATTGTTTTACGAGGGACGAAATAGGATTAAATACAGGAACAGCGATGGCGTAGTCGCCGAAATATCCAACTTGCGATTTGAAGGTTGTATCCCGTGCGCCAATAACATTTCTGTTTTTAGGGTTCCGTACTCAAAGAGTGAAACGGGACCGATTACTAAGACTCCGTCGTCTGTCTGTCCGTCTGTTACCAGGCTGTAGCCAGACGGACAGACAGAGAGAGTGGTCAACTATCACGGTTCATGAGATCTATCTCATGAACCGTGATAATTGGGCAGTTGAAATTTCCACAGATGATGTATTTTTGTTGCCGCTATAACAACAAATAACTAAAAACACAGAATAAAACAATATTAAAGTGGGGCTCCCATACAACAGACATGAATTTTTGGGGTTTTATAGATAACGGTACGGAACCCTTAGTTCGCTAGTCAGACTAGCACTTGTCCATAATAAACAAGACTTAAAATGGCTGGAATTTGAATTAAAAATGACACCACTGTCTACCCGATTATGGTAAAATAACATGAAAGTTTTTTAATAAAAAGATTTCGATTCGATAATTATATCGTCAGACTTTAATATCCGACAGACAAAGCGTAGCGCGTTGGTAGCAAGTAATAAGTAGCGGTAGAAAGAATTTCCAATTAGTGCAAGATCGTATTTTTGCTAAAAACAGCTTTTATAAACCTTTTTTAACCTCTGTAGAGGAAAGCCCTGTTATTAATAACAGACTTACTTTTTTACATTTTTGGTTGAAGTTAATTCGGGGCGACTGCTCTTTTGAGATATGAAAACCTAGTTACGACTATAGGGCCGTTTTAATATGATTGGAGAAAGATCTGGAAAATAGTTGAAAGCTATAGTGTCCTCCTAATGGATATGAAAGTAAGTGTAATATTGTCAAGCGGTACTGCAATTTGTGACATCATATATAAATCTTAAGACTAGAGGTATATGGTTATGATGAAGATATCGAAAGATATAACGTAAAAAAGTAAAGAATCAGCCTATACATGTCCCACTGCTGGGCAAAGGCCTCCTCTATACAGAGGGTATAAGAGCATAGTCCACCACGCGGCCCCAATGCCGCGGACTTCACATATTTTTTTTGATGTAAACAATGTCTCCTAGTGATTTTATTTCTTATTATTTCTAAAATATGTAGGTTTCCTCACGATGTTTTCCTTCACCGCTGAGCACGTGATAATTCAGCAAAAATTTCATTGGTGCCGGCACCGGTGATCGAATTACTTTACGTAATACTAAGAAAGCATTTATCGATAAGCAACATTCATCATAGAAAAATATACCTAAAAGTGCATCGATATTTATTTACTAGTAATAAAAAAAATGTTCATCTCCACGCTTATTTTTAGGTACAAATGTGATATTTAACCTAACAGTTACACTCCATCACACGAATGATACTGATATCAGTTCCACCATACGGATCTCATAAAATTACTATACCCGTATTACTAAATAAAAAATTCTGTAGGTGTATGAATTATATCTAACCTGGTAGTGTTTTACTGTACCAACGTGTACCAACACGTTTCGTTTATTAACCTTTTCAAAGTTGTTAGCTTTAATGAAGCGATGAACCTACTTTGAATAAAAAACGAGTTTATATGTGACGACAATGAGCGCCGTGAATCACACATGCAGCCAATGAAAGCTCAACAAACGCTTAAAGTTATTTTGATATTCGTTATATACATACCTGTCATGTTAAAGAGAGAATGTAAGAAATATTTTATAACGTTTCAAACTGCGTTTTTTTTAAAGTTCTGTCAACGCATCTGCAAGCCTTAAACATGTCCATGGGTAATCTTAACATTAGGTGAACAGTAGGCTCGCTTGACAACTTTTCACATAAAAAATTCTAACAAGGAAAAAAAACAAAGCACCTAAATGATGTCCACATAGTTTAAAGTCGAGTATTTTTGTATATCAAAACTTAAGAAAAATCAAAACGGAGCCCGTTATATAATCGTATAGCTCCAATACATCAGAGTGGTTCTCGAAGTGTGTACCAGTCTTGACCTGTTGCTCCTAACAAGGTAAAATGTAAAGAGGCAAGTCCTCAAGAAGATCTTTTTAACTGGCGTGAGGCAATATAAAATACGTCAACCCTTCAATGCATAATTTAGAATGTAGCTCGTCTAGGATCAGGGCTGGCATTCAAAATAAAGAACTACGTGAGGGATATTTTGAGTCTGTCATAGAGATATGCATTCTAATATACTTGCATGTATTTTAAGTAAATTCTGATGGTGCAGTTAAAGGGTGGAACGTTGAAAATACCACCGTATATTGCATCGCCAGTGGTCTTGATTCGTAAATGTAAACTTAAATCGCAAATCGACGTCATTCCAGACCATCCATTTTCCACCATGATTAAGACCATATACGTAGATATTTTAGTGGAAATCCCCTGTAAGTGGTTATCGTGTTTGAAAATCACAATTATATTAAGGGGTGGGGCTTACTTATATATAATCGTCAAAGAATTGTTGAATAAATATTGTATTTATAGAATCGATTAAACGCCCACTCAA